GAATAACAAAACACACACATTTCCTCTTTTTGGCTCTGCAGCTATTTCAGGAACTGGAAAAGATGTTGCTAAAGCTCTTAGCGTTTAAGAAATTACAAAGGTTTTAGGAGGTGTGTTGCACAAACCACAGACAAGAACAAATATATATTTATTATACATGTCAACATCACAGGAACACACACAACAGAAGTTGTTTTGTCCAGAATATTGAGGAGGAAATTCACAGTGGGTAAAAGATGATGATAATAAAGCTTCCCCAACACTAAGGTCCTATACTTAAAAAAGAAGAAAGAGGAAGAGGAGAAGGAGAAATGCGAAAGTTTGGATAACATGTTTCAGGATGAAGCGATTGATCTAACAACTTTTGTTACAAATATATAGAAGTAACAGGTACAAATGCCTCCTGAGATAGCCCATCTCTTCTGTGATTTCCCTGCCAGCACTGTATGACCTGAATCTAATCATCAAGAAATAACAGATAAGCCCCCAACTGAGAGATATCTACAAAATAACTGACCTATGATTTTCAGAAATGTCAAGGTCAAAAGGCAATATGGACACCGAGATGTTCCAATTTAAAGAGACTAAAAGAAACTTGACGACTAAATGCAAATGGTGATCCTGGAAAATAGCCAGAAAGGAAATTATAGGAAAGGCTGATGAAATTTGTTAATGGACTATGCGTAAGATAATAGTATTCTATAAATGTTAGATTTCTTGATATCGGTAATTGTATTGTGGTTCTATAAAAGAATGTCCTTGTCTTTAAGACATAAATTCTTAAGTATTTAACACTAAAGTGTGTTAATTAAACAATGAGGCCATTTGACCGAGATAGTACTAGTACCTTATCAGCCTACATAAGCAAGCCGAAACCTAAGCATTTAAAGACCTCAATGTTAAGAAATCAAAACCTAAAGACAACCAATCACAAGCAGCCAATTAGCCTTCCCTAAATGAGGCAAATGTTTGAGCTACAGCCAATGGAATAATGTCTTGCTTTGCTTCCACTTTTTCCTCTACAAAAATCTTCCCCTTGGTTCCTGTCAGTGGCGCAAGCTCTCCCAATCACTTCCAGGCTGCTGCTGCCTGATTTGAATTTATTTTTGCTCAAATAAGCTCTTAAAAATTTTAATATGCCTCAGTTTATCTTTTCACCAGGAGAAAATGCTTGCAATTAGTTCTCGAGTGGTTTAGAAAAAGGTGAGAGAATAATAGATCAAGCAGGGCAAAATCTCGAAATCTAAACATATGTGCTATTTAATGTGGATACAGGATATGAGAGTTCCTTGGACGTATGCGTGTTCCTTGTACAAACTTGCAACATTTCTGTAAGTTTAAAATTTTATCTAAATAAAAGTTGTTAAAAATATGAAGCAATTGAGTTTTGTTCACTTTTGTAAGGGTATTGAGGGTAAAAGAGAACTGACAAGTTAACATGTTAAAACCATTCTGAATTGCCAAATTTGGGGGTCTCTATTAACAACACTCCTTTGGATAACAAGAACTTCTGGAAGTCAAATACCCCCATTAAGTTGACACAAGGAGTTAAATGAGAACCAAACAGGAAATACTAAGTGCCATTTCAAAACCTTTAGGCTGGTGGCAAAATATACGATTTCCCCCCTGGACAATAACCTCTAGCAATGACTTCAACCTATGCTCCAAAAGTAGCTGTAGAAAATTAGTCCAGAATGTTTAGAATTTATGCTAGAAAATGGGAAAAATCTTTCCCTATAAAGCTGCTTATTTAAAACATTAATAAAAATTATCTTTCACTTTGTTGGATACCCTATGAATTAGTCTTTGCAAATGTCAGTAGAGCATAAGAGCCAACATGCCTTGAGAAGTTGCCATCAGAGGCACTTGGAAACAGAAAACCGAGGAATAGAGAGGTAAAATACCTTGCCCAAGGTCAAACATTAACGACTGAGTAGTACTAGGTGTCTGTCTCAAGAGTGTGTGCTCTAGTCACTAATCAATCTGCTTCCAAAGCAGTATGGTTCATGAATCCATTCCATATTTTATAGAGTATCTCAGTTTCACTGTTGTCCTAGCCCTGTAAGAGTGATGTCATCTCCATTTTTACCTATGAAGGAGATGAGACTGAAAACTAACATAATTTGTTCAAATTCACAAAAACTAGGAACAGATGAAGGCAAAACACCAACACAGTTACGTGCAATTTAAAAACCCTTATCCCTTTTACCCATCAAGACAGCAGAAATAGATGGCATTTTGAAGAATTGGGTATCATCAAGAAAATGATACCTGAGTGAACTCCAAGCTTTAAAATAACTAATATTAAAATTATCACATGGGAACTTTCCTAAAACAGCTCCCAAGGCAAAAGATGATTTTTTTTTTTTTACTGACTTTAAACATTGTCAGGAAATAGTGTTTTCATTTTAATCCAAAAATGTACACACACTCCCATGTCAGACCTCTTGTCTTTCACTATTCCAGTTTATCTTCAGTATTTTCTCTTCCCTTCCTCCGTCCCTCCCTCCCCCTCTCTCTCACTGGTTCTGTCCCTGTCTCTCTGTCCCTCCCTTCTTTCCCTTTCTCTCTTCCTCCTCCTTGAAATTCTGGACAGTTGCATGAAAAGGTTACAAAGGTTCCTGCTTCCCCCTAGTGTTATGTGTCTATAAGTGGCAGTCACATTAGGAAAATTAGCAAAACTCTACAAACAATAGGAATAAAATGACACTTTAAAACCTTTAGAGTTTTTGGAGGCAGGGGGCCAACAGGGTGAGAGGAAAGAATCTATGATCACTGACAGTCTAGTTAACCTCACATGGCCTCAGGAAATGCTCCTGTGACAGGGAAGTTAGACTATCCCCTTCTCACAGTTGTCTTGTGCGTTGAGATAAGACCTATACTAAAGGGTCTTGAAGCATAGTACACTCCCAATAAGAAGTAACTATTATTTACTTTTGACAGATCTGTAAGGTAGAAAATGGAGACTCAGCACTGCTTACTTATTTTCTTTAATTAACTCAGCCAGCGAGCTGTAGGACTAAGCCCATAATTCAAGTTTTCAGATTCTAGTGCTCTTCCTCACACCTCGATCTCCCAAATGGATAGCTGATAATGAGGAATCTTGAGAATTTTAAAAGGATTAAAAGGATATTTCATATACTACCTGTGTTTTCCATTAAATTAAAAACCATGCATTTCAATGATCTCTGGTCCTATCTCCAGAATTGGGTCTTAAAGTTGCAGGAGAGAAGTGCACAAAGATGTACGTTCAGGGGCACCTGGGTGGCTCAGGCAGTTAGGCATCTGCCTTCGGCTCAGGTCATGATTCCAGGGTCCTGGGATCAAGTACCGAGTCCAGCATCCGGCTCCCTGCTCATCAGGGAGCCTGCTTCTCCCTCTCCCTCTGCCCTTCCCCCTGCTTGTACTCTCTCTCAAATAAATAAATAAAATTTTTTTTTTTTTTTAAGATTTATGTCCAAAACATGTTCACGGATCATTACTTACAACAGTACAAAGTTGAAATCAAGCTAAGTGTATTGATTCAATAAACCTTTGTACAAATAATGATAATTGTTCTTATTTATTTATTTATTTCATTTACTTCTTGGTACAAGACACTGTTTTAAGAATGAGGAACAGATCAAAGCATCCAATGAGGTAGATGCTATTATGTTCTATTCACTGATCATCTGCTTCTGAGAGAGCTCCATGGAACCACTCCACATTTCACTGCACTGTAGCCCCTCGGGTGGACCATTGTTCAACAGTGAAAAAAAAAAAAATCATGTTTTTGGTAATTATTAAATTATATGGAGATGTCTTTACATTAAAAATGTTAAGGGAAAAAACAGTATGAAAAATCGCATACTATATTATTTCAGTCCTAAATGTGTGTGTGTGCGGGCATGTGCATGTACGTGCATGTGTGTGTGTGTGTAGCACCAACATCTAAATCTAAATAGTATCTTTTTCCAGGGGATAGGTTATGGGTAATTTTGTGTCCTCTTTAATACTTGTCTGAATATTCTGAACTTTTTTTTTAAGATTTTTATTTGTTTATTTGACAGAGATCTCAAGTAGGCAGAGAGGCAGGCAGAGAGAGAGGAGGAAGCAGGCTCCCTGCTGAGCAGAGAGCCCGATGTGGGGATCGATCCCAGGACCCCGGGATCATGACCTGAGCTGAAGGCAGAGGCTTAACCCACTGAGCCACCCAGGCGCCCCTGAATATTCTGAACTTTTGTAATGAGACAGAACTGCTAACATTGTTAGATGAAAAACTATTTTTAGGGTGCTAAAATAAATGCCAGAATTTCTAAGAACAGGATTTTGTTTCTCTTCATAGTTAAATACTGAATCGGGAAGTGTAGCTGGGAAAGATTTGCAAGAAAAACAATTACCCCAGTGACTGGAGATAGGGGCAGGATATTCAACCTAGAAGTGGTAACCTAGAAAGGGAAGTGCCTGAGATAGGGTGTTTAAAGAGCATGTGTGCATCATTAACTTGGCACGCAGGACCCCACTTTTGATCGATGTCAGCTGTTCCAAGGCTGTCTTCTGTCAGTAGTCATTAGGATTCACTATAGACTGAACTAGTGTGGACAGAGGCTCTGATGCCTTCCGAAGAGAAAATAGGGAAGACCTGTGACCCCAACAGTTATAATTTCTGGGATGGAGACTTTCAAAGTAATAGTGGAAAGCAGCAAGGAGAACCTTCTTTCTGACAGTAATCCTAAAAGGTGTGCTGCTTCCTATCAGCCCCTTCTGGGCAGGGCCTATCAGCAGCACCAAATGAGAGTGACATAGGCCCACCTTGAGGTGGCATCTCCCCAGCAACCTGCGTGAGCCAATCACATCACTCGCAATGGAAACCTGCAGCTGCAGATAATGTCACTTGGCCCCAAACACTGTACAGCGTGTGCCTTTCCTGTCTTCCTGAGAAAGTTAGGGTTGAACTGCTGAGCCTGACCCTTAACAGGCCTTTGGAATTCCCCCCTACACAGACCAGATAAGGGATTTTTTTTTTTTAATAGGAAACTAACAAGTTTGCTCTTATAATCCCTTATTTGGTGCAGCGATCTGGCTATTTCACAGAGATTTCAGCTCTGCAAATAAACTGGAGCCCATAGCTTCCCTCGGAGAAACTGCTGGTTGGAGGTGGTCAACAGAAATCTCCAAAAGACATGAACAAGGAAAGGTCTTGCTGAGACTCACCCAAAGGAAATCCCGGAGGAGAACGCTGAGCCCTTATTTCACAGTGAAGCGGCAAGAGCGGGAAGGATTTGTAACACAAACGAATATCGACCATTGACCAACAGAGGCAGAAGGATTCTCCCAACTACTACCGCAGCCCCCACGATGAGAATCTGGCTCCTGCCCCGGCCGCTTCATCTCCTACTGCTGTTCTCTGGCCTGCAGACCCCCACCTGGAGTTCTGAGGTAGGGCGCAATTGAGGAGGTGATTTCTTTATGGTCAGAGCTCCACTGGGGCGCTTTCCTGGTGACAATCTTTAAATGACCTTTGGTCACTTGGGATCTAATTTCATTCAGACATTTTTTAAAAGATTTTTTATTTTATTTATGGGATGGAAGGGGGACATAAGCAGGGGTGTGGGAGAGGGAGAAGCAGGCTCTCCACTGAGCAGGGAGCCCAATGCAGGACTGGATCCCAGGACCCTGGGATCATGACCTGAGCAGGAAGCAGACACTTAACCAGCTGAGCCACGGAGGCACCCCTCATTCAGACTTTTTAACCAATAATGCTACTGAAGATGTTGAAAGCAATTCTTTTTTTTTTTTTAAGATTTTATTTATTTATTTGATAGACAGAGATTATAAGTAGTCAGAGAGGCAGGCAGATAGAGAGGAGGAAGCAGGTTCCCCGCTGAGCAGAGAGCCGGATGCGGGGCTCGATCCCAGAACCCTGAGACCATGACCTGAGCCGAAGGCAGAGGCCTTAACCCACTGAGCCACCCAGGCACCCCGAAAGCAATTCTTAAAGACTGTGGAATTCTTTAGAGTTTATAAATTTGGCATTAATGGAAGCTAGAGGCATAATGTGATTTTCTTGATTCTCCATAAAATTTAAGTAAAACATTGCTTCTGTAGGACAAATGATATAAAATAAAATCTATTTGGCTTTCGACTATTTCATAGGGATCAACTCAAAAGAAGGTTTATAATTTAAAGTTCTATATAATAAAAAATAACCTAATGTTGAAAGATAACAGAGTACATATTTGAGATCTAGTGATATATTAAAATGTTTAGAGCTCACAGGATGTAACAGAACATGATATGATTGATTTTGTTTTGTTTTGGCTTAAATAGATTCTTGTAGGCCTATTTGTAAACCTTCTGTAAAGAGTTATTGGCAAAAATCATGTAAGCAGTCTTAAAAATCTGCTCCATTTTACACACACCTAGATGTCTTCTCATCATAAATAACAGTAACACACCAAATGGTGTGTTTTTGAGTTTTAGCTGCAACATCTTTGATGTTGACTAGATGGAATCGTATCTCTTAATATAAGGAGTGCTATTTATTACAAATGCATTGTTTCTTTGCCAAGAAGAAAACATCTTGGAATTTGGATAGTTGAAAATATGACTCTGAAAAATAGACTGATGATACTTAATGAACTTGTATTCAAATCTCTAACTTCAGTTTAATATGGACTAGATATTCATCTGTTGATGGGCATCTTGGTTCTTTCCACAGTTTGGCGACTGTGGCCATTGCTGGGGCAATGAACACTGGGGCACAGATGGCCCTTCTTTTCACTACATCTGTATCTTTGGGGTAAATACCCAGTAGTGCAATTGCAGGGTCATAGGAAATCTCTATTTTTAATTTCTTAAGGAATCTCCACACTGTTTTCCAAAGTGGCTGCACCAACTTGCATTCCCACCAACAGTGTAAAAGGATCCCCTTTCTCCACATCCTCTCCAACACACATTGTTTACTGTCTTGTTAATTTTGGCCATTCTAACTGGTGTAAGTTGGTATCTCAATGTGGTTTTGATTTGAATCTCCCTGATGGCTAGCTATGATTAACATTTTTTCATGTGTCTGTTAGCCATTTGTATGTCTTCATTGGAGAAGTGTCTGTTCACGTCTTCTGCCCATTTTTTGACATGATTATCTGTTTTATGTGTGTTGAGTTTGAGGAGTTCTTTATAGATCTTGGATATCAGCCCTTTGTACTGTCATTTGTGAATATCTTCTCCCATTCTGTGGTCCATATATTCTATGCCTCCATCAGAAAGGATGAATACCCAACTTTTGTATCAACATGGACAGGACTGGAAGAGATTATGCTGAGTGAAATAAGTCAAGCAGCGAGTCAATTATCATATGGTTTTGCTTATTTGTGGAGCATAAGGAATAACACAGAGGACATGGGGAGATAGAAAGGAGAAGTGAGTTGGGGGAAATCTGAGGGGGAGATGAACGATGAGAGACTGTGGAATCTGAGGAACTAACTGAGGGTTTTGGGGGGAAGGGGGGTGGGAGGTTGGGTGAGCCTGGTGGTGGGTATTGTGGAGGGCACGTATTGCGTGGAGCACTGGGTGTGGTGCATAAACAATGAATTCTGGAACACTGAAAAGAAATTTAAGAAATAAATTAAAATTTAAAAAATATGGACTAGATATTAATAAATAACATTCAATTGACTACCCATGGGAAATTGTCTCTTTCTCATTCCTGATTTCTAAGAGGAGGGACTGTCCTAGGCACAGTCCTGAGCACTGTACCACTCCTCTGGTGGTGGGCAATTTTAGTTGACTGGTAATATCAGGAATAATAACAAAGCATTCTGAGTTTGACTCTGTTCTTCCTCCCCCTGGGAGTTAGCCTGACAGAAAAGGGCATGAGCTCTGTGTTCCTCCATGACAAGAATCTTATCTTTGGGCAGGCCACAATCCAATACTGTCTGCAGCTCAGTGGGCAAGTCTGCCTTGTTCTGTAGTATAGTCTTAACAAGTCTACGTGCCATCAGACCTAAAGATGTGTGCCCCAACAATTCAGTAATGAAGGTGATATTTTAACCTTCATACATGCTCTGTTTTCCTCAATTTTTAAATCAGATCCTGGTCAAAAGAGAAGGCTGTTATTTAGTGGAGACCCTTTGGGAGAACCCAACATTACTCATCACTGAAGTTTTTTCTTAAGTGAAATTCAAAGATTTAATATGGGTTTTAGGTATTCATAAAAGAGATATTTATTAATACCCATGACAGAATGTAAAGGGGTTCAACAGGGGAAACAGAAAGTATACATAAATTTAAGATTTTATTTTTTTTCTTCAAAGTATTATGCAAAAATACTGGTTTTGGTTATACAAGAAGGGTCGCTTCCTCCCTGGGGAGGTGAGTTTCTTGAACTTTTAGTAATATTTATCAAACCAAATTCAATCTCTGGCACAGGTCACTGATGCAGGAAGTACTAGGACAGGGTAATGATTATGAGTGAAATTTATTTCAGCAAATACATTTTGAGAAGTCTTGGCTTTATGGAGGATAGCAAGTCAACCAGAACATCCACCATCTGATTTGAAAAGTTAAAATCGAGATTTTTCTTTTCTTATAGGTTGCAGTTAACATTGACTTTGACTTGGCACCAGATTCCTTTGATGATCAGTACCAAGGCTGTAGCCCACAGGTCATGGAGAAGCTAAGCCAAGGGGATTATTTCACAAAAGAAATAGAAGCACATAGAGATTACCACGGGGTCTGGAAGAAAGCCCACTTAACCTGGCTGAACAGAGCCAAAGATCTCCCCAAGAACATGAATATTACACATGCTCTGGCCATCTTGGTTTATACATCAAACAACAGTGTTCACACAAGCTTCACCAGAGCCATGGCCAATGCTGGGAGGTCTCCACAGCATTATGAACGTTCATTCCATTTCAAGTACTTACACTACTACCTGACCTCAGCGATCCAGCTGCTAAGGAAAGAAATGGTCATGAAGAATGACTCTCTGTGTTTTGAGGTGTATCATAAGATGAAGAATATCAATTTGGAAGCCTACAGTGGTGCCACCATCCGATTTGGCCAATTCCTCTCCACCTCTCTCCTAAAAGAAGAGGCACAGAACTTTGGGAACCAAACTTTATTTACCATATTTACCTGCCTGGGCGTACCTATACCAGAAGACTCTCACAAGAAGGAGGTCCTGGTCCCTCCCTATGAGTTGTTCAAAGTTGTAAATATGAGCCATCATCCAAGAGGAAATTGGTTGCAGTTGCAATCCACTGGGAACGTGAGCACATACAACTGTCAGCTGCTAAAAGGTATTATATTATCCATCTAAACGGAATCTACTCTTATCAGGATCACAGACAACTATTCTTTTTTAAAAGTTATTTTTCTGAGTGGGGCTTATTAGGGGGAAGGCCAAAAATATGGAAATTGGCCTTCAGGAATGGTGGAACTGACAGATTAGAGAAGACTTGCCTTATTCCTTTGTTTCCCTCCCCTTCTTTCTCTTCAACTACTTCTGGAAAAAAATGTGTTTCTTCAGTGGCTCTAATATGTGGGGCACTCTAGACACAGAGAGAGTAAACCTCTACTAGAAAAGATAGCATATAAAATATAACATTTTTACCTTCACCCTCAAACTCTCCTTTGTTTTTTGTTTTGTTTTTGTCATGGTCATTACAGGAATAGGGAGTGCTGTGAGTAAAGCAGGAGGCATGACTTAGTCACTTACTCTTATCTATTACCCATCTTCTATGTTCCAGAAACTGGGATGGGAGGCCTCATGTGCTATGAGATGAATAAAGCAAAATCAGTATCCCAGGAGATGTTTTAGTCTAATAAGAAATGAAAATATGAGCAAATGTCCACACTCAAAAGCACTAAGCAATACACCAGACATTCAAGGAATGGATGTGGCTTCTCAGTGTAGGAAGCTACTCATTCTCTTTGGAGGAAGTGAGAAAGTCTTCACAATCAAGGACCCCATGGGACTTGAAGTAGGAATGGGGGTTTTCAGTGAAAGAAGAGAGGAAAAGTCATTTCAAGCAGAAAAGAGCATATGCTGAATGACAGAGGTTTCAAACAGCCAGTGTCTTTAGGGAATCTCCACAATTCTGGATAGCTGGAATGTAGGAGGTACAGGACACGGGAGGAGGCTAGGAGTCGAAAAGGAATAGGGGATGGGTTGGGGTGGAGAGTCTTCTGATGGGCCAGATGGTTAAAACTCTTGTATTCTATGCTAAGGACTTTCAAACTTCATGCTATAGGTAATGAGAAGCCACTGGAAATTTTTAAGGAGTGGAACATCAGTTAGATCAGTATTTTGGAAAGGGCTCTAATGATATGGTGGAAAATGAACTGAAACAGGAGAAACTGAAGATACCACAGAACAACAACAACAACAAAATATTGCTAAGATCTTTTGTAGAAAAATATGTAGCCAACTCCATTCTGTCCCTGTATGTTACCAGCCACAGTCCCTGCACAAAATGGTAGTTCTGTGGCAAGTGCCATGCCCTGTTTGATTCAGAAGGAAGATCGTCCTTATCCACACATGCATTTCTTCACACTCACACTTGACTGCAGTGTCTACCTTCAAAAATATCCCTGACTCTTTCTCTAGTCTGTCATTATTGCTACTGTTAGTAATTCAGGCTATCAGCATTACTCAGCATTTTGGGGCTGCAGTGTTAACAGTGATCCTGAAACTGGCTTCCACGCTGAGGTCTTGGGCCTGCTTACTTGGGCCTATCTGCAAATCCAGACCAGGAGAGAGGTGACTTATCAATACTTTTATCTCTTTCTGCCTGTCCTTAGAAGTGTGGCAGGCAACAATACAGGTGAAATGAATATCTGTTCCACAGAACCAAGAGATTAGTGTTTGCAGAGGAGAATGAAAAACTAGAGTATGAAGCAAACAGTGAGATTTTGATACCAAACGAGAACATTCGTAGTCAGTTTCCAGGGTTCTTTAGAACTATACTGTTGCTTCATCCTCATAGAATGAAGCTGAGACAGAAAAATTTTTCTACTGGGTTGATGAGCAATATTTTTATTTAATATTTTTATTTAATATAAAATATATTAAGTAAAAAGTTATAGAACATTTACATCAAAGGGTAGGAAACTGAGAGAAAGGAGTATAAAATAGAAACTATTACCCATATTCCCTACTCTGTAAGTCTCAAAGGAAACTATTTCAAGACCCTTCCCACCAAACTAATGATCTTTGCTTTCCTGTCAGGAAGCTACTCAAACACAACTGGGAGTTGAGGCTTAACTCGAGTAGCCATGCACATTGCTAGACTCTGGAAGCTTGGCTGGTCTTGACTGGATATTTGAAATCACAAATCATACTTAAGGGAGTCAGTAAACTCATATTGCTCTGTAAGTTCTTTGTGGGCAGGCCTGTGACGATATAGTATTTAAGAGTCTGGCATTGAATCCAGGCAGTTTGACCCCGGATCCACTCTGTCTTGATTCCTATCCAACTTGTACCATTTTCCAGCTGTGTTCTCAGTCCAGTGTTTAAACTTCCTATGTTCTTCTACTATGTAAAGAGCATCATAATAGAGCCCCACAGGGTTTTTGTGAAAATAAAACAAAATACAAAAATATTTCTAAAAGAACTAGCATGTAATAAATGGTAAATAAGTGTTAACCAATATTAACTTCAGTCTCCTGGCACATAGAAATGTTCAATCTACATTTGTTGAAAAAAAAATCTATATTTGTTGAACAGCAAAAGATGAAGCATTCTCTTTCAATGCTTCTAAGTGGTCTTATCTTTGGGTCAGATGACCAGATAACTCAATTGACTAAAAACAGTTTCAATATTTGCTAGAAAGAGAAAGTATTCTAGGAAGTTCAACCCTTAGTCAAATATAGGGAGCTATAGCCATGATGTAACTGATCTGGAATGTGGTCATTTGCAATGTGAGTTACTACATCTAAATTCTTCCTGGAAATTCACCACTGTGCAGTCTTGGGAAGAGATTGTAAATGGCAGAAGAAAATGACCCCTGGTCGTAGAAGGTGATATTTTGGTCAGAGACATCACGTGGTAGGCCAAGAGCTGGAGCTGGAGTGTCTTCCCAGCCGGCACAGCTACAAAACTATTTGGGAGATTGAAAGAGGGAGAAGAATCAGCTCGAGCTGCAGGGATGCCACTCTTCCTCTGACTTCATTGGCTCTGGCTGAGAGTTGCAGAGAAGGCTGCTCCATTCTCCGGTTCTGCCTTCCCTAAACCTCACATGGAAGCCCAAGAGGGAAGCCTCAAGGCTGCCATTGGCTGGTTGTTAGCACAGACACTTTAGTTGAGGATAAAAAGACTATATTATCTCGAGATATAAATCCACCTATCTCTACGGATTACCCAAAAAAAAAAAAAAAAAGAGTTTGATTAACCTCATGATGCTTTCAGCTATTTGCTGCAATGGTGTCTGTTTTCTCAAAAAGTAAGCGGTTTCTGAAACTTTCCTTAAGACATTTCTGTTAACTGACAAATAACAACTTTACTTATCCCAACATCCTGGAGCAGTGTTGGGTTGATCCATACCTGAACAATGGGAGGAGGGAAGTGCTGTGTTTTTCTTTTCTGGGAGTCCTTCATTGGGAGGGAGGAAGATCAGTGGACCCTCCCCAGACCTGCTTTTCTAGCTAACTGCTATTGTCCGCCGTCAACCTCACAGTCTAGGGATTCCCAGAAGGTATTCTGGAGGACCGATATCCAATTTCTCATGAAACTGGAATCCTCTCAAGAGACTCTTTCTTATGCCTTCAGTTTTTTTCCCAAGCATAAGTCCCAAGCTATTCTACATCTAAAAAGTCCCTCTGAGCCAGTGACTTGTTTCCTCTCTTGTTCCCTCTCAATCTGACAGACATGATATTTGAAAGACAACACGAAGACTTTAAAAATTGGTCATCCAAGACACCATAACTCTCCCAATGAAAAGACAATAGATTAAAAAAAAAAAAAGACAATAGATTAGAGAGTATAGCTTCCCCAGACCTTCGATTTATTTCGAAATTGGTTCTGTTAACTTGAACCTACATTTCTCAATTTTAAAGAGTACCCATAAATCTGTTGCCTTCAGAGTCAAAAGGTCAAATTGGTAGCATAATATATTTAAGCAAGGGCATTTGCAAAGGAAAAATTGTTTAAGAAATTCTACACTAACAGCCCTCCCTTCTAATTCTTCTCTCACCCCTCTTGTGACCTATACTGGTTACCATAGAAACAGATATTTTCATGCCCATTGAAAGACTCAAAATATGTTAGTTATTTGTCCTTAAATGTTGCTTTGTTCAGGAAAATAATCCGTGCCAAAAATCTGTAAACGTACAAATACATACTCTGTTCTGTATCATTGGATTCACAAAGAAGGATTTATTTGTGGAAATGTTTCACATAATCAAAATTCTTAAGCATGTTTCTAGAAAAAATACTGTCAACTTTTGTAGTAAGCCTGGTTTTATATGTTAACTTTGCCAGTTACTGGCAGTGAGAATGTGGGCAAAGGCTTGGTCCCTGTGTGTCTCCATTTCTTTATATGTAATATAGGGGGAAATGTCATGAAACCTTCCCTATAGGATTCTGGCAAGTGTGAAGTGACTTAAGCATGTAAAAGCTCTTAGATCAGATTCTGACATTAGTAAGTACTCAAAACTTGCGGCTACTATTACTGTTACATATTATTTATTTTATTTACTTCCTGTTTCCTGTTTTCTCTTCCCCTGGGCTTTATCTCAACTTAGTGTTCCCTAGTTGTGGCAGCACATTAACATTGAAGTAGAGTGTCTGTCTCAGCTGAATGGATGAAAGAATGAGTAATTTGAGAGGTGGCTCAGTTGGTTAAGCGTCTGCTTTCTGCTCAGGTCATGATCCCAGGGTCCTGGGATTGAGTCCCGCATTGGGCTCCCTGCTCAGAAGGAAGGCTGCTTCTCCCTCTTCTCCCTGCTCGAGCTCTCTCTCGCTATCTCTGTCGCTGTCTCTGTCTCTCTCTCTCTCAAACAAATAAAATCTTAAAGAGAAAAAGGAAAGAATGAATAATTGAATGAATCTAGGAGACCACACAGCATGGTAGAAAAAAGAGAAAAAACTTCGGAGTCAGGAAGGGCTGGACATATATGTTAGTAGCTATGTGGCCTTGTGTGAGTAACAACCTATGAGCCTGTTTCTTCATTTATAAAATGGGGCAAAGGGGAACATTGTGGCAGTACTTGGCATCCACCCTCTCAAACACAATTGAAAAATTCTAGGAAAGTACTTTGCACGTGGAAGTGGGATAATAGTTCAGTGGCACAAATGTGTGTTTCAGTGATATTGACAGTGACGAAAAAAACAAAGGAAGAGACAGAAGAAACAATGTTTACCAGTGTCTGAGTGCCAACTATTTCCTAGATAACTCTCTAAAAGAGTAATACTCATTAATCTCCACATTTTGACAGAAAAAGGCTGTAGATAGCATTTGCCTCCAAATATCAGATTAACTAGATATACTGTATGTCAGTTTTAGCTTTTTTCTGCTTTTTTCAAGGGATTGAGTGTTTCTTTCTGAACAATCTGATATTTCACAGAGTTCATGAAATACAAGCTATATTATGTATTTCTCCCTAAACTATATACCATAAGACCAGATTGATCAAATTAAATTATAATCCACAAAAATATTATACTCATTCACAGAAGGTTTTCACACACATTATCTGTTTAATTCTTACAACCATGCTGTACATTGGTTACTGACCCAACTATACTGGTGGGAATACTGAGGTTGAGAGAGGTTACATGGTCTGTATGAGATTATTCAGTTTATAAATGACAAAAGTAAGACCCTTTCCCATGTTTTATGACAAAAAGCCCAGGACAATGTTCTCTATAGACTGCTTTCAGGAGATTTATTTGTCCATTCAAAAATATTGTTAGGAACCTACTATTCGTTTCAATCCTCTGTGACTGTAACTGCATTATAACTCACTTCATACACACATAAACATACAAGTACACACATATGTATAACAAGACAATCGTTCACAGTACACATGTCGTTTAACTCTAGGGTTTTTTTATTCTAATGCTTTTTATCACATTATTGGAATGAAGGTCGTAATAAAACATTAATGCATCACAACCTCCAATTTGAAAAATACTCTACTAGGATACAGAGGGGGGAAAAAGCATTAAATAGATAGTTTAGAAGAAAAGCAAAAACAAATGCAAAAGTAAATTTAATGTGAGTTATCCTTAAATGAAAGATTTCATAGACATTTAAATCACGAATGTTTTTCATTTATTCCCCTAAAGAAAGATATTGTCTGTGTAAAAATAATGATAATAATAGTGTGAGGTAGAAATGTTAATGACTGTAAGAAAGAGAAAAAGTAACAAGAGAGGAAAGAAAAGTTACATTAACCTGAGAAAATAAAATTAAAGTAAGCTTTTTTAATATCCTAGTTATGAGGAAGGGGGCTGAAGAGGTGGTTTTGAAGAATGAGTATGACTACAAAATTGTAATATATGTATGTTTGTTCTTATTTGAGCATCAGTCATTATAGTAACCATGAAGCAAAGTAAAGGGGAATGGTAGTGATCCTAGAATTTGCAACAGTGTTGGATGAGATGCTCTCGTTTTACAGATGAGAAAGCTCAGGTCCAGTGAAAGTACCTAACATAAAGGTCAGCTAGGGACAAAGCTTCAACACCCAAGCTAATCACTTCCAGTAACCGTAATTTCTACCCACTACATTGTTTCATTCTCAGTCAATATTCTCTGATAACTCTTCAGTAGAATCATATTCCATTAAAAAGTGAGAAAGAACAGAGTCAGAGGTCCTTGTGATCTCAGCCTCAGTGAGGAGAAAACAAAACAAAAAATGTTTGGGAATTACTGTAGTGAATGATCTGCTCAAGTGGTATTAATGGTCTCGAGGTCCCTGTGAGAATTCAGATAATAAATTTTAACAGGAACTTTAACAGAAGTTTAGAAACATTATGCATTATTACTTTTCCTTGTCTACTGTTAATGGTAAAAATGGATTTTAAATATTGTTTGTATATACAGAATTCCAAGAAATTCCAGGAAACTAAAAGGATTTTATGCATTATTATGTGAAAGTAATGGGAAAATATTTCTCCATCATGTAGTCACCCTATCAAGCAATATGTTCAAATATTGAGGCAATCACAGAGTTGAAAGTCTTCCTGACCCCAAGCATCTTTTCTACCTTAAACAGTCAGTGAAGTCTAGTTGAAAAGGAAATCCCTCTCTTTAGAACATTTTGTGATATATGGAGAAATGATACTGTAGCTAAAAAGATAGAGTTGAGCCAGACTGCTTGAGCTGGAATGCTGCCTTCACTGCACACTAGATGTGCACTTAATGGTAAGTTTCTCCACATGTCTGTGTCACCGTTTGATCAGCAGGACAATGAGGATAATGAGAATAAATACCTCATACATTTCCTGTGAAGATTAAATAAGCTAATTGATAACAAGTACTTAAAACAGACCACAGCACAGAGTAAGTTGCTAATCAATGTCAGCTTTCATAATGGTGATGAAGATGATGATAATTAAAATGGTGATGGTGCCACTGGGGACAATAAAGATGGAAAATCATGAGATCTCACACACCAACTAGCTGGGAACCTGGAGTAAATCTCTGAACTCCTTGGTGCTGTTCCATCTGCAAAATAAACAAGCTGAATTCTGCTGGTTAGAAAAAAATTTAAGAGGATACTTTTTTAAAGTAGCGAACTTCAAATATTTTTATTAGGAATTTTCTAAGTTAAAAAAAAAAGAATCAAAGGATAAATGAGGTTGCTTTTTAAAAAATAAACTCTACTCCTTTAAAGTTCTCTTTGTGTTCATTTTTACAGATTCCAGCAAAAAGTACAACCCCGCTCCTGTGGTTATTGCTTCTCTCTCCTTTTTGACCAGTATTGTCACCTCTTCCAAAAGTGGAGTGTAAAGGAAACTTGGGGTTTTGCTTTCTCTGTGCCTTTCTGCTTGATGCCAGTGATCCCCTGAATACCCTCGGGGAATCACTCTGCCCAGTTATCAACTGATGCAACACTCGCTCAGCCCACTGCCTGGGAGCAGACCTGGAACTCAGTGTATTTCTTCTCCATGGACACCGAGATTCATCAGGAATAGAAAAGGACCCAGTCAGAACTAGTGAGATACAGTCATGGGAATTTTTTGGAATTGGGTTTGGGAGTGGGTTGGGAGCCTTTTAACTGAGTGGAGATTGATGAAAGCAGAATGAGTATGAGCCCACAGCTGCCAGCCACGCTCTTGCCACCAAGAAGGGAGACTCTATCTCCTTGAGAATGGAGCAAACACAATGAAGGAAGAACTGAAAAATGCAAGAAAAAAAAAAAAAAACCAGTTCTGGGGCACCTTAGTGGCTCGGTCTTTAAGCATCTGCCTTCAGCTAAGGTCATGATCCCAGGGTCCTGAAATCAAGCCCCACATGGGGCTCCCTGCTCAGCAGGAAGTCTGCTTCTCCCTCTCCCTCTACCTCTTACCTTGCCTCTGTTCCCTCTCTCGATGTGTCTCTCTCTGCCAAATAAATAAATAAAATCTTTTTTTTTATAATCATATAATGTATTTTTATCCCCAGGGGTACATGTCTGTGAATCACCAGGTTTACACACTTCACAGCACTCACCATAGCACATACCCTCCCCAATGTCCATAACCCCACCCCCCTCTCTCGACCCCCCTCCCCCCAGCAACCCTCAGTTTGTTTTGTGAGATTAAGAGTCACTTATGGTTTGTCTCCCTCCCAATCCCATCTTGTTTCATTTATTCTTCTCCTACCCCCTTAACCCCCCATGTTGCATGTCCACTTCCTCATATCAGGGAGATCATATGATAGTTGTCTTTCTCTGATTGACTTATTTCGCTAAACATAATACCCTCTAGTTCTATCCACGTCATCACAAATGGCAAGATTTCATTTCTTTTGATGGCTGCGTAGTATTCCATTGTATATATATACCACTTCTTCTTTATCCATTCATCTGTTGATGGACATCTAGGTTCTTTCCATAGTTTGGCTATTGTAGACATTGCTGCTATAAACATTCGGGTGCACGTGCCCCTTTGGATTACTACGTTTGTATCTTTGGGGTAAATACCCAGTAGTGCAATTGCTGGGTCATAGGGTAGTTCTATTTTCAACATTTTGAGGAACCTCCATGTTGTTTTCCAGAGTGATTGCACCAGCTTGCATTCCCACCAACAGTGTAGGAGGGTTCCCCTTTCTCTGCATCCTCGCCAGCACCTGTCATTTCCTGACTTGTTCATTTTAGCCATTCTGTGTGTGAGGGGATATCTCATTGTGGTTTTGATTTGTATTTCCCTGATGCCGAGTGATGTGGAGCACTTTTTCATGTGTCTGTTGGCCATCTGGATGTCTTCTTTGCAGAAATGTCTGTTCATGTCTTCTGCCCATTTCTTGATTGGATTATTTGTTCTTTGGGTGTTGAGTTTGCTAAGTTCTTTATAGATTTTGGACACTAGCCCTTTATCTGATATGTCATTTGCAAATATCTTCTCCCATTCTGTCAGTTGTCTTTGGTTTTGATAACTGTTTCCTTTGCTGTGCAAAAGCTTTTTATCTTGATGAAATCCCAATAGTTCATTTTTGCCCTTGCTTCCCTTGCCTTTGGCGATGTTCCTAGGAAGATGTTGCAGCGGCTGAGGTCGAAGAGGTTGCTGCCTGTGTTCTCCTCAAGGATTTTGATGGATTCCTTTCTCACATTGAGGTCCTTCATCCATTTTGAGTCTATTTTCGTGTGTGGTGTAAGGAAATGGTCCAATTTCATTTTTATGCATGTGGCTGTCCAATTTTCCCAGCACCATTTATTGATGAGGCTGTCTTTTTTCCATTGGACATTCTTTCCTGCTTTGTCAAAGATTAGTTGACCATAGAGTTGAGGGTCTATTTCTGGGTTCTCTATTCTGTTCCATTGGTCTATGTGTCTGTTTTTATGCCAGTACCATACTGTCTTGATGACAACAGCTTTGTAATAGAGCTTGAAGTCTGGAATTGTGATGCCACCAACTTTGGTTTTCTTTTTCAATATTCCTTTGGCTATTCTAGGTCTTTTCTGGTTCCATATAAATTTGAGGATTATTTGTTCCATTTCTTTGAAAAAAAAATGGATGGTATTTTGATAGGGATTGCATTAAATGTGTAGATTGCTTTAGGTAGCATAGACATTTTCACAATATTTTTTCTTCCAATCTAGGAGCATGGAACATTTTTCCATTTCTTTGTGCCTTCTTCAATTTCCTTCATGAGTACTTTATAGTTTTCTGAGTATAGATTCTTAGCCTCTCTGGTTAGGTTTATTCCTAGGTATCTGATAGTTTTGGGTACAATTGTAAATGGGATTGACTCCTTAATTTCTTTTTTTTCTGTCTTGTTGTTGGTGTAGAGAAATGCAACTGATTTCTGTGCATTGATTTTATATCCTGACACTTTACTGAATTCCTGTACAAGTTCTAGCAGTTTTGGAGTGGAGTCTTTTGGGTTTTCCACATATAGTATCATATCATCTGCGAAGAGTGATAGTTTGACTTCTTCTTTGCTGATTTGGATGCCTTTAATTTCCTTTTGTTGTCTGATTGCTGAGGCTAGAACTTTCTAGTACTATGTTGAATAGCAGTGGTGATAATGGACATCCCTGTCATGTTCCTGACCTTAGTGGAAAAGCTTTCAGTTTTTCTCCATTGAGAATATTTGCAGTGGATTTTTCATAGATGGCTTTGATAATATTGAGGTATGTGCCCTCTATCCCTACACTTTGAAGAGTTTTGATCAGGAAGGGATGCTGTACTTTGTCAAATGCTTTTTCAGCATCTATTGAGAGTATCATATGGTTCTTGTTCTTTCTTTTATTAATGTATTGTATCACATTGATTGATTTGCGGATGTTGAACCAACCTTGCAGCCCTGGAATAAATCCCACTTGGTCATGGTGAATAATCCTTTTAATGTACTGTTGGATCCTATTGGCTAGTATTTTGATGAGAATTTTCGCATCTGTGTTCATCAAGGATATTGGTCTGTAATACTCTTTTTTGATGGGATCCTTGTCTGGTTTTGGGATCAAGGTGATGCTGGCCTCATAAAATGAGTTTAGAAGTTTTCCTTCCATTTCTATTTTTTGGAACAGTTTCAGGAGAATAGGAATTAATTCTTCTTTAAATGTTTGGTAGAAATCCCCCGGGAAGTCGTCTGGCCCTAGGCTTTTGTTTGTTTGGAGATTTTTGATGACTGTTTCAATCTCCTTACCAGTTATGTGTCTGTTCAGGTTTTCTATATCTTCCTGGTTCAGTTGTGGTAGTTTATATGTCTCTAGGAATGCATCCATTTCTTTCAGATTGTCAAATTTGTTGGCATAGAGTTGCTCATTGTATGTTCTTTTTTTTTAAGATTTTATTTATTTATTTGACAGACAGAGATCACAAGTAGGCAGAGAGGCAGGCAGAGAGAGAGGGAGAAGCAGCCTCCCCCCTGAGCAGAGAGCCCAATGCGGGGCTCGATCCCAGGACCCTGGGATCATGACCTGAGCCGAAGGCAGAGGCTTTAATCCACTGAGCCACCCAGGTGCCCCTCATTGTATGTTCTTATAATTGTTTGTATTTCTTTGGTGTTGGTTGTGATCTCTCCTCTTTCATTCATGATTTTATTGATTTGGGTCCTTTCTCTTTTCTTTTTGATAATTCTGGCCAGGGATTTATCAATCTTATTAATTCTTTCAAATAACCATCTCCCAGTTCCATTGATTTGTTCTATTGGGTTTTTTTTGGTATCTATTTCATTGATTTCTCCTCTGATCTTTATGATTTCTCTTCTCCTGCTGGGTTTAGGCTTTCTTTGTTGTTCTTTCTCCAGCTCCTTTAGGTGTAGGGTTAGGTTGTGTACTTGAGACCTTTCTTGTTTCTTGAGAAGGGCTTGTACCGCTATATATTTTCCTCTCAGGACTGCCTTTGTTGTGTCCCACAGATTTTGAACCGTTGTGTTTTCATTATCATTTGTTTCCATGAATTTTTTCAATTCTTCTTTAATTTCCTGGTTGACCCATTCCTTTTTTAGAAGGATGCTGTTTAGTTTCCATGTATTTGGGTTCTTTCCCAATTTCCTCTTGTGATTGAGTTCTAGCTTCAGAGCATTGTGGTCTGAAAATATGCAGGGAATGATCCCAATCTTTTGATACCAGTTGAGACCTGATTTATGACCCAGGATGTGATCTATTCTGGAGAATGTTCCATGTACACTAGAGAAGAATGTGTATTCTTTTGCTTTGGGATGAAATGTTCTGAATATATCTGTGATGTCCATCTGGTCCAGTGTGTCATTTAAGGCCTTTATTTCCTTGTTGATCTTTTGCTTGGATGATCTGTCCATTTCAGTGAGGGGAGTGTCAAAGTCCCCCACTATTATTGGATTATTGTCGATGTGTTTCTTTGATTTTGTTATTAATTGGTTTATATAGTTGGCTGCTCCTATATTAGGTGCATAGATATTTAAAATTGTTAGATCTTCTTGTTGGACAGACCCTTTGAGTATGATACAGTGTCCTTCCTCATCTCTTATTAGTCTTTGGCTTAAAATCTAATTGATCTGATATAAGGATTGCCACCCCAGCTTTCTTCTGATGTCCATTAGCATGGTACATTGTTTTCCACCCCCTCACTTCATATCTAGAGGTGTCTTCAGGTCTAAAATGGGTTTCTTGTAGGCAGCACATTGATGGGTTTTGGTTTTTTGTTTGTTTGTTTGTTTTTAAGATTTTTTTTATTTATTTGACAGACAGAGATCACAAGTAGGCAGAGGGGCAGGCAGAGAGAGAGGGAGAAGCAGGCTCCCTGCCGAGCAGAGAGTCCAACGCAGGGCTCGATCCCAGAACCCTGGGATCATGTCCTGAACCGAGGCAGAGGCTTTAACCCACTGAGCCACTCAGGCACCCCTGGGTTGTTTTTTTTTTTTATCCATTCTGATACCCTGTGTCTTTTGATTGGTGCATTTAGTCCATGAACACTCAGGGTAACTATTGAGAGATATGAATTTAATGCCATTGTATTGCCTGTAAGGTCACTGTTACTGTATATTGCCTCCGTTCCTTTCTGATCTACTACTTTTAGGGTCTTTCTTTGCTCAGAGGACCCCTTTCAATATTTCCTGTAGAGCTGGTTTGGTGTTAGCAAATTCTTTCAGTTTTTGTTTGTCCTGGAAGCTTTTTCTCTCTCATTCTATTTTCAGTGATAGCCTAGCTGGATATAGTATTCTTGCCTGCATGTTTTTCTCATTTAGTGCTCTGAATATAGCATGCCCGTTCTTTCTGGCCTGCCA